GGGGGGGGGGGGGGGGGGGGGGGGGGGGGGGTCGTATTCCCATTTTCCAGCCCAAATTTTGACCAAATCCCATTGTTCCAGAGCACAAATTCCACCATCTCAGTGGCTGTCCTGCTCAAATCTTAGTCCCATTTCTATTTTCTATTGTTTTTTTGCTGATGAATCCCAGTCCCAGTGCATGAAATCCCATTTTCCCACCCAAAAATAAGCAAATCCCAGTTCCCATTTTACCCCTTCAGGACCTTCATACATCAATGCAGTCTCTTACCTGATTGTCTGTGTATTTGATTTTCATCCATAGGTCGTTTTTCTGAGACACTCCGATCACATTTAGAAATGTATTTTTGATCTTAAACATACTTCCAAACAAAATCCAAATTGCCAAGAGTGACCATGCTCAATACTGTATTAAGTAATTTTGCTTAAAAATTCAGCTCTTGCTAGCGAACATAGGTTAATAGACAATGTTGTATTAAGCTTTTCGATCCATGCCTTATTTTGTGAAAACCACATCACGTATCGTACATTCTTGACCAACGTTTACAGAATTTTCCAAACTGGCAATTCTACTTCTAGACTATAACGTCAACGTATACTTGGCCGTTATAACTTCCTGAAACGTGGCTTAATGTCCCAGGCGTAAGATATAGATCAACGTAATCGTTGTTCGAGCCATTTTGTCGCAGTAAACTTCCCCGAGCATATATTTGGAAGGATAAGGTAAACGGATTCGACGTGTTGAGCGATTTCGTTTCAATTAAAGACGTTTTGTTGAAGAATATCGAGTCGGATTCTTTGACACACAGGATGCAGCTGAAAGATTAATGACTGGAAATGCAAATGATAATTAAATTGAAATGTTGTGTATGCAACGGAAAAGGTCTTTTGCATAATTTACTTATTGTCTTTTCATTGTTTCAAAAATTCATGCAATAGTTTATTGGCAAATTACAACAAATTTATCGTGAATGTAAAGAAAATAAAACGACCGCCAGCTAGGTGACAAATACAAGGATATAAAAAGGACCTTTAGAAATTTAACTTGTTGTTATAATTTGAATGCCTGAGCACTCCGTACTGTACAGGGTGTCCCAAAAAACGAAAACTATTAAAATCACCAATAACAATTTAATTGTTAGAATTTGAATGCTTTAGCGCTCTGTTGGTTTCCACGAGTGCATAAATTATTGACATAAGTAAATTTTATGCATAAAGAAACTGTTTAAAAAGCTGTTTTTAATTCCCAGGAGCAGAAAATCGCGCACTTTACCAGGAGATATTCCTAACTAAATTCTAATACATGCACCTTGCCAATATTTTACGCATCATTACGTCCAGCTGTTTGGTAGGGCATTCAAATTTAACAATAAGTGATTTCAATAGTTTTGGGGTTTTGTGGGACACCCTGTATACTGAATGAGTGCGTAAACACAATTGAACCGAATTTTATGCATGGAAGTTAATTGTTTTTGGTTTCGTTCAACATATGATTATGTGCTGATTAAGACGATTAATTTAACGCAACGGGTAAAGGCCGTTTTCCACTAGTTGTAATATTCCGCGCAGCGGAATTTCTCTTTGTTTTGTGATTTTTCGGGTAGAACTAATTAGAAAAGACAAAGAGAAATTCCGCTCCGCGCGGAAAATTCCGCCTGGTGGAAAAAGGCCTTTAAGCCGGTTTTCCACTGGCGAATTTTTTCGCGCGAAGCGACTTTATTCTTTTGTCTAAAACTAGTTAGTACCAAATGGTTCCAGTCGAAAGCTCAAAGGAAAAGCAAATAATTCGCTAGTGGAAAACCTGCTTAACCAAAGAGAAATTCCTCTACGCGCGGAAAATTCCGCCTAGTGGAAAACCGGCTTAAAACAGTAAAAACTCGCTGCTCTGTGGTCAGTTGAGTTGAAACATTTTTACTCGAACTGAATTTTGGGTAGTTATTCTCATATATGCTATTAGAAGCTATTTTAAATTCCTATGCAGGAGCAGAAATTTATTTATTTTAATTTCTGAAGGTCTCCTTTTTAATATATGGCCATGTCAATATTTTCAGTGCTTCAGCAATCGTAATTTACGTGCCATCGACACTTTTAAATGTTACGTTTAACTAAAACGAAATCCGAGTTTAAATTTTGAATTATCTTAAAAACCTTCCTCTTGTCCATCCCTTTTAGCTATACCTAACATCCTTATCATATACCCTCGGTGTATATAAAGCATTTTAGTTTTGTAGATCTGCGCCGAGGAAGGTAAAAAAGGAGACAGGGCTACTTCATTGAACAGTATTAGCAGGTTGTTGCATATAAAAATATAAAGTTTGTTCGTTCACTGCAACCAGGTATATCAATCATGTTTCGCTCGCTACTCTGGTTTAAATAAATGATTACAAAGCCCAGTCGAATTGTAATCAAGACCCAACGTTTCGACACTCCAGTCTAGTGTCTTCATCAGGGGTGATCTAAAACTGCGATCGTGGCTTCTTAAATACCCAAGGGATGACGTCACCTGCCAAGAAGATGCATATATCTGTGATGTATCTGTGAACCCCGAAGTTAATAGTAAAACCGTGTCTTGTTCGTCGCATTTTGTACCTGCTATATTATTGTCAAACACTATGTCGCTAGCCCCGAAAATCGATGAAATTGCTGTATTTCTTACTTCGAATCATATAGATATTGCCTTTTTCAGCGAAACATGGTTAAAAGAATCCGTTCCAGATGAAGCTATTAATATTACAAATTACCAATTATTCAGGCGTGATCGTCAACACAAATCCCATGGTGGGGTTTGTTTTTATATTAACAATACTATTTCTTGCAACCGCCTAACGGAGTTAGATAGTGATAATCACGAAGTATTGTGGCTAGCCTTACAACCAAAACGACTCCCACGAAATTACTCAAATATGATAATAGCTGTTGTGTACCACCCTCCAGATGCCGATTGTACAAGTATGCGTGACTATGTCCAATCTTCATTAGAATATATTGAATCTTCAATTCCTAACCCTGCAATCATTATTGCTGGTGATTTCAACAAATTGGACTTACAGGCTACTGTTAAACCTTTTCAACTAAAACCAGTAATTGATTTTCCCACCAGAGGTGCCAATATTCTTGATCAAATTTATACCAATCTATTTGAATACTATTCACCTCCTACTAGTGCTCCTCCATTTGGCTTATCAGACCATCTAACAATTGCCATGTGTCCTGGAACGAGGAAAAGATCGCACGAACCACAATCGCGTATTGTTAAAACAAGAGACCCAGTAATATTAGAAGTCTTGGTCGATTTCTCCAGGAAATTCCATGGGACATTTTATCGTCCATACCCTCAAATGATCAAAAACTATACTTTTTAACTAGCATTATAAACTATGGTTTGAACTTAATTATGCCTGAACGTTCAATAAAAGTCCACCCTAATGATCGACCATGGGTTAATAGCAATCTGAAATCACTGATAAATCGTCGACAAAAAGCCTTTGCATCTGATAATGTCACTCTTTTTAAAATGTTACGTAATAAAGTTAATCGTGAACGAAAACGTTGTCGTAAGAGCTATTATCAATCTAAAGTTCATAATTTACGTAACACTAACCCCCGAGATTGGTGGCGGGAAGTGAAGCAGTTGTGTGGCACATCTAAACTAAACAACAAAAGTGTAAAAGACCGCCTCCATCAAGATTTATGGCAGGAGACAGACATAAACCTCAGTAATAAAATTAACAATGTTTTATAAATGTGATACAGAACTATGTTCCATTATCTGAAGATACGGCTGTAATTGTACACAACGATGAAACGCCTATTATTGTGACCGAGTCAACTATAGCTAGAAAATTGCAAGAAATTAATACATCGCGTTCCAGTGGCCCTGACGGTATTTCCAATTGGGTGTTAAAAACCTATTCGGATATTCTCGCCTCACCAGTTGCAAATATAATCAATTCTTCCTTTCAAAGCTGTAAAGTCCCTCAAATTTGGAAGCTGGCCGATGTGGTCCCCTTACCAAAAACATCTACTGTCAAAGACTTGGAAAGGGAATTACGACCTATTTCCTTAACTTCCACTCTATCAAAGATAGCGGAACGTCTTGTAATCGAAAGAGAAGTAAAACCAACTCCGTTAAAGGTTGTTGATCCCCAACAATTTGGCTTTATTCCAAATTCTTCCACTGTACTTGCCTTGATATCGATGCTCCATTGTTGGTTGAGTGCAACAGATGGAAGTGGTTCATCTGTTCGCACTGTATTTCTTGACTATAAAAAAGCATTTGACATGGTAGATCACACCACATTAGTTGCGAAATTATTCAGCCTTGGTATTAAGCCCTGTGTGGTTAACTGGATTATTGACTTTTTACGTAATAGATGGCAAAGGGTCAAACTAAGTGATAATTGTTTCTCAGACTAGCTTCAAGTTCCAGCTGGTGTCCCTCAAGGCACACGACTTGGGCCTTGGCTATTCTTAGCCATGATAAATGACCTTGTGTTACATAATCACCTTTCAGAAATGTGGAAATTTGCCGACGATACTACGGTCTCTGAAATTGTTGAAAAAAACGAACAAAGTACTTTACACATGGATATCGATGATATTACTACTTGGTCTATGGACAATTCCTTTCAACTAAACCCATTTAAATGCAAAGAAATGGTAATATATTTTTCACGATTACCACCTGTTTTTGAACCTATACGTATTGGTGACCGAAATTTGGAAAGAGTGACAAGTATCAAATCGCTTGGAGTTATATTAAGAAATGACCTTAAATGGATAAACCATGTAAATTCAATTGTCTCCAAAGCAGCTAAACGTTTATATTTGTTGAGGCAACTCAAACGTGCTGATGTCGCTTCGGCAGATTTGGTCAAATTTTTTTGCAGCTGTATAAGGTCTGTCCTCGAATATGCGTGCCAATTATTCCATAGTTCCCTGCCACGAAATCTTGCAAAACACATTGAACGTATACAGAAGCGAGCAATGAAAATAATATTCTATGAATTGTCTTACGACGAGGCTCTTAACATCGCTGGTATTTCCACTCTTGAAAACAGACGGGAGTATCTATCCAATAATCTCTTCAACGACATTGTTTTAAATGATGATCATAAACTTGCCAAACTTTTACCATCCAAAGCAGGCAATAGAGAATTACGAAAAGAAAGATCTTTTGAAGTTTTACCAGCAAATACAAATCGTTTCGGAAACTCTTTTATCAACTTTTATGCTAAGAAACATTACAAATTAGATGTTCCTTGAACATTTTAGAATTTTTAACTCATATAGATTAGTACATTTAAGTATATGATATATAGTATATATTAACAATTTTTAAATTGCATTGTAATATGGAATTTTTTACTATTTATAACCTTGTAACACTTAACGTCATGTAATTCAGTCTTCTGACTGCCAGATGATGTTTTTATTAAACAAACTATTCATTCATTCATCCACAATGATTTCACAATGGGCATGCTAATAGTTTTATAACAAATCACATCCACTGGGATATTTCTGAGGACTTCCTTTGATTTGTTAACCTCTCTACGAAAGTTTATTTTTGCCTCTTGCAAAATTCCTATGGGGTCATCTGATGGGTTGACAAGACCACCTCTGTTTCTAGCTTGTATGAAGCTGTTATTTTCTTGTTCCGACTGCAGGCTCCCAAGTAATCCTTGGAGTTCTGTGTTCTCTGACTCACTCTTTTTCTTTCTTGCACTCGTTAATTTCCTAACAACATATCCAGCAATATAGGAAAGAGGTCCCATTTCACATGCTTCAATCTTTTCACATTCTTTTGTTGTGTTTCTCAGTGGTGGTGACTGAAGCATCACCTCCTCCAGTTATATTATAGAATGATCACTTATATTATAGAATGATATTAAATGGTCTGGAATATGTATCATTACAAGGTTGGTAATACGAGAGTCTGCCAAATCAAGAAGAGTCGTCGACTTTAGCATTAAACCGTAGAAATATTTTTAGCAGTTTGTCTTGATTCTTGTTTTTACAAAATTTTGAGTGTAAAAGCTCAACCTCGTTGAAGAGTGCTTCTGTCGCAGTAACATTTTTAATAGAGGATTCTATTTCGTCTCGATACAATTTTGTCGTCGATAATGTTTTGCTTTATATTGTGTTAACGATCGAGTTCATTGTGTTTTTTATCGAGTGGTGTTGTATTGCTACCCTCAGAGGTGCCAGAAACATCGTCGACATGTTTTGATTTTTTGTGCTTTGTCAAACCGCCTTTCTATTTACAAATCTTGTTATACATATGGCAAGGATAAACCATAAGACCATCAATCTCGTTCAACGCGTTTATAAATTCATTTTCCACCGATAGGTCATCATTTTCAACAATATCAATCGCAATATTCATGTGGAAAGCATCTTCATCAAATAACATTGTCAGTTCCTCGCTGCATGACGATGGGCCAGACGGCTTTACACTCGACGTTATTTCTTCCATTTCTTCCAAAACTCCCTCAGAAGTTTCCTCCATTTCAATTTCGGCTATATCGTCCTTTTAAAAACACTTTTTTATAAGATTTTTGTTGAACGCATTAATAATCTTAAGTACTTCGCTCGAGAGCATGCACACTATTTGACACGTGACTTTCACTTCCTTTGTGGCGCAACATTTTTGCCGCCGCTCTTTGAAGTTCGCCGGCTTTCCAAACCATCCTATTTCTATTAACTGTGGTAAAATGGAATGACAACAAGCATGCATGTCCATATTGTCTCTAACTTTCATGGTACAGGTGTTTCTGAAATTTTGAGGACTCAGAAAGATGGGCCAAAGAAGCAATTTCCCTGCCCAATTGCAATAAAAGAATACAATAGCTATATGGGCGTGTAGATAAAGCTGATAATATGCTTTGTGGTAGCCTATATATGGTGATACCAGAAAATCAAAATAATGGTGGCATACAATAGTTTTTTGGAATAATCGATCGCACTGTTATAAGTTCAATGATTGCATATAATAAGTTAGGGGACACAACAATGTCTGCACTTCAATTTAGAAGATGTGTTGCCCTAAGTCTAGTGACTTTTTCCCACAAGCCTAAAGTAGGGCGCCCCTTGCGCACACCACCTTTAGTTGCGAAGAAACGTAAAAAAACTAAGTATTTTGTGTCAAGAACCATGCGATTAGAGAACCGGGGAGCACACTGGGTGGTTTATGAAGATAAGCGAGGGCGTTGTGAGGTTTGTTCCCAGAAGAATGTCGAATCCAGGCCACACAGTCATTGTTCCATGTGCAAGATATTTTGTCGAGCAACAGAAGCAAAAATTGCTTCAATGAATTTCATGAGTTTGAAGAG